CTCATTTATGCGGAAAAATCACATATTTTCATCGAGGGTCGGCAAATTACAGTTCACATATCTCTGTAAACTAGCCTTTTCTTTCACCACATAAACATTTTAAACTTATAATTACTTATTAATTACAATTTATTAAGTAATTTCTAAAAAGTGTTCATGTAGATTACGTGTGATATTTACTGTCACGATTTCTAAATATTTTTATACAAATATATGTAATAGAGTATGTGTATACTCAATATGTATACATATGTTTTATCCAATAACGTTTACACATTAACAAAAAAAAAAAAATATCTATTAACAAACGCAATAATGTAACTTAATATCATAATAATTAATTTAAACTATCGATTTTTAAATATTTTCTCTTTAATTACAAAATAACTCAATTCTTATGAAATAGTATAATATTATACATATTTATTTACTAATAAATATCATAATAATGATCACCTTATGATGAGTTTCGTCATCTCCTCCCCTTCTATGTAGGGGTAAACCGCTGATTTACTGTTTTAATAACTACGTTAGTCAAGGAAGGGAACTCTCTATGGTCAAAAGCATACACGTCACATAGCTAAAGTTGGGTTTCGTGGGATTAATAGCCGCCGTCGCCGCTTGATTACACCTTTCACTTTTTTGCATTCAAATATTTTCATATAATTCTAAAATTATGTAATTTTTAAAATACCTCTAATTTTCTGTATAATATCAAGATATACTATATGATGTTCCTTCTACCTAGGTATACTATGCATATACCATGGTAACATATACCATGGTATAACGAAATGATATCTAGGAACGAGAAACATCGACCTTTCACCATATCCCCCCGGCCGTTTACACGGCCCGTCTACCTAAGGCAGGGTAAACCCACAACATGTGGGTTAGGAGGGTATGGCAATCATACTTTACACTTCTACTACTTATGAAATTACAGAAAATTGAAAGGTTTTCAGTGCTGAAAACTGAATAATGACTTGTTTGATGGAAAACGATTCAAATATTGCTGTTACAGTCTACTATGTTAATATATTTGATTTAATAATTTAACAAAATGTGTAGTTATCATACATTTAAATTACATATTTGCAAGACCTTTTAAGAAGTACTAACTATCGTTCTGTACCTTAAGTTGTTTAAGTACAAAATACTTAAAATAGAGTTTTTATTCAAAACAATTTTAGTTTCGATGCAAAGTTGAGGAGAAGGTATAAATTTTACTAAAATTTATTTTTGTGTATCTGTTACCACTTATTCTCATCTCTCGCTGGTCCGATTCGATGAACAATACGTCAAAAGATCACAAATTTTATCTAGTCAAAAACATTACCATCAAAAATTGAAAAAAATTCCTTCATTCCTCGTAAATAGGAGATATCCCCCGAAAAAAATTACAATTTTAAAAATCGGTAATTTTTGAATTTTTTTTTCTTAAAACTGCCATAATTTTTTAAAAAATGAATATATCTATCAACATATATTTTTTTATAGATACTTTAGATTTTTACCTACCATTTGGTATATTTTTTGTGAAAATGCCTGTAGGAGGGGTTTCAAAATGGAATTTTTTTCATACAAAATTAACTTTGTCAACTAATGTTCTGAAAATGTTCCGAAAATACTCTCTGTTGCCACTTAGGCTGTTTTAAGAAACCCAACCAAAATAAAAGGGGGAACAGAACTCCGTGATACGGCTTAAAATAGCCGTTGTAAAATATTAGTGCAACTAATAATCAACAAAAAGTTTTTAATCAATTTTGAAACTGTCAAAAGAATAATATTTTTTGTTAACACGAAATAAGCTTGTTTAGCTTAATAAACACAACTAAATTAAATACGAACAACCGATTCTTTTTATTACTGAATTAAATAATCAAAAACATAACCATCCATATTACTTACATTCAGTTACGCAAAAGTGCATGCGCCATATGAATAAAAAGAACTCAATTTATAAAAGTTATGTGCTACCTGCAGTTGTATTATAATAATGTTCTAATCAATGCAAAAGAAAAAAAGAAAACAACTATATGAGTTTATAATAATAAAATGAATAATATATTTTAAAACGAAACTTTAACAAAAATTTTTTCTACTAATTCATAAAAAAATAAAAAAACACATCCTATTTTTTTGACAAAAAAAATATACATATATTTTTTGAAAAAAACGACCGACCGACACAGGCCACTGATAAGGCGTCCTACCATCACATAACCACACCCATACAACCAAACACTATCAATGCAAATCTCACGCTTGACGCGAACATTGATACTTATATATATATGTTAAATTTAAGCTTATAATTAATTTGAAAAAAAAATTGTCCGTAGTTGCTGTAATAATTGTTTAAGCATTTATTTTAGTTTTCTACAAGTGTTATAATTGTTTGATCAAATTTTTTTCATGCACAATGCACCCAAAGAAAAACCTCAATCAAAATTGAAAGAGAAATTTTATCAAGGGTTTATGATAATGTTTTATTAATACGAACAAAATAACTATTCTTATAAATAATTATTGTTCAAGACAAGAAAAAAAAATATCATATTGATAAATATATCATTGATTCAATAGTAATGATATATTTATCAAATTGAACAATGAATTTATTATATAGATCGAGGTTTTTCTCTGGGTGTGCAGGAGCAACGATCTAACGGTAACTTTTCTGGCGGGTCAGTTCATCAATGTTTAGGTAATGGTAAAAATAGAACGTGGTAAAACATTACCTTGATCCCTTGTCGAGGAGAGTAAATTGTTTGATTATAATATCTTAATAAGTAATATTTCAAAACTAGTTATAGAGTGGATAAACATTTTTAAGTATATTTTTCGTCTAATTGTAAAAAAAATAATTTCTAGTCCCCCTATTTATTTTCGAAAGTTATCCCAAATATAATACTTTATTTTGATAATTATTTAATTTTGTTCAAAATAAATAAAACTATGTTTAGCTTTGGCATTTAAATGGGAGGTAATTATAAAATAAAATAAATTTTTTTATATATACGAAGGTAAATTTAAGGTTGTATTATTTTAAAATAAATTAAATATTTAAAATATGTTTAATAAGAAAAAAGCCATTTATGCATATTTAATAGTCAATAATATCTTAAAGATATAATAATACTGTGATAAACTGGGTGATTTAAGTCCAATTTGACCACGCGGATAAGTATCTTCGGGAAGAGTCAAAATAATAACTATAATGTAACATTTACCGACGGAATACTGACCATAGAATCAGTAGTCAGATCCCTATTTATAGGGAATAATGACATTAACAATTAAGGTTATACCTTAACATAACATAGTATTAATGATTACTTTTTAAATATTAGTATAATTCACTTTCTAATAGTTACATAATAAACATAAAAATTATAAAATGGGTTTACGACAATACAAATAAAAAAGTTTGAAGCATTGTGGTACGGTTACCATGATGATATATAACCTAAAGGTTCATCCTCTTTCATGGCAAAATCATTTGATAGCCACAGACGTGTCAATACTATTTTGTAAAAAAATAATTATTTAATAAAAAAATGTATACTTAAATCATGTATTTGATAAACCATGTTAATTTGATAAAAAAAATGTTTATAAAGGCTCCGCTAAAATAAAAAAAATAGTTCTATTTAATTTTACAATTATAAAATTGTAAAAATAAAAAATAGTACCTAATTCATTAATAATGAAGGTTAGCTATTTTCGTAGAAATAAATAATATTTTAATAAGTTATCGAAATTTAATAATGTAATAATCTATCCAATAGTATAATATGTTATGAAAAATTCAAATGTTATAATTTTTTATTTAAATGCTCAATAAATTTTATTAAAGGTAGTTTGTAATAGGTATTACACTACATTAAATTTATCATAATTAAAAATGAACACATTTTTGGATTTATACAGAAAAAAGGAAAAGTGTTATCGTTTTACTTTTACAGACTACTGTATAAAGTTGTCTCAATGATAGCGTTTAAATTTTGTAGGTACATCGTTGATTTTGACAAGTGTTTAGTGTAAACTATAGTTTACATTATAGCTTTAGTATCTATTTTGAGTGATTCATTATTATTTATCATTTTTATTACATGCACGCGTTGAGTTTTCATGTCAAAACAAAACTATTACTTCTTATTTTATTTTATTATATCTAATAAAATAAATAGATTTAACAAAATCTGAATAGCTTCTAGAAAAATTATTAATATCTTTATTGAAATTCGTCTAAATTATACCTTTTAAAATAAATTAAGTAGAAAAATGGGTAATTATTGATACTTTAAAAATATGTATTTATACCTCCTGTCTAAATTTCCTGTTTTTTTTTGGTAAAATTAACTTTTTATAACTAGAAATGCATATATATTTATAATAAAAATTAATTTAATATATTATGACTCGTTATGTTAACCATTTAAAAAGATTGAGTTTCTAGTAAACAAAGTACTACAATTTATTTTGTACCAACTAAAAATTTTAATTTTTTAATAAATTTACATTCACTTTTTTGTTTCTATTCCATATTTGTATAATGAATAAGATGTTATAAAAATAATATTTATTTTATACTAATCAGCTTAAATTTTTTTAGAAATTTTTAGATATTAGAAAACACAGTAATTTATTTTAAATAAGTTAGTTTATAGTCTATTGCGAATTTACTATATTGGCAAATATAGCAAATATAGTCTTGTTTTTTAAAACTATTTTGCGTATTTATAGTTTTAGTTTTTCGGTATGTCATGTGTGGTTATCTATAAGGTTTGATAATCAATGACTGCCGCCAGACAATAGTCGTTGCCCTGCGGTGACGTATAGCAATTATTATCAACTACTTTTTTTTGCTTTGGAAGTTTTAGATTTTATCCCAGCAGTTTATTTATTTATTGATCAACGTGTATCACATGAGATTGTTTTTATTCTTAAGTTTGTACATATGTTTTAAAGAATGGAATATTATGAATTAACCAAATTATTTGTAAATCTTGTGAATTATTTCAAAATTATTAATAAAATAATTAAACAGTAAAAAAAATTTTTTTTGTTCATTAATTTACAAGAAAAAAAGGGTAAGTTTCATTATCACAAAACTAGGTTAAATTTAACTGAATAATAGCCACGTGATTTCTTTTTTTTTAAGTACTGGTACACTCGAGGACAATATTTTAATTTTGAAATATTTATTATTATGTAATAATTTCAACTGAATATACAGTTATAATTGATATTTTAAGATTTTACCAAAAAGTTATTGAAGAATAATTTACTGAATAGTTTTATTCAATAAATCGGTCATCTTGATTAACTCGATTTGGAATGTTTTAATTCCTTTTAACATGTTAAAATTTACACATTATGTTTTAAGGATAGGAGTTTTATTAAGGATTTCTTGTTACTTAAGTTAACTTGATGCTGTTGTTTCATAATACACTATTTGATAAGTGTCAATTATAAAATATGCCTTATAAAAACATTTTAGAACATATTTTCATTATTTATTAAAAATATTTCAAGATAATCAAATTTTGAGTAATTATAAAATCAAAGCTAAAGTCAACTTAGTATATTTTATGCACTTAATCTTAAATTATTAATATTTGTGGAAACTTTTGATTTACAGTAAGTTTGATGATGATTATAAATTGAAATAATAATTATTCTATAATTAATAATTATGTTTAAAATATTTAAAATGAACATTCATGTTTCTTATTTACAAAAACATTTTTGTGCATTATTTTTCATTTCATTGCTATATTTACAAACTAAAAAAATTGAAAAAAAAATTTACCCAATTTTTTTTTCAAATTCAAATTTAGTTTATTTAAAATATTTGAAATCGATGGCAGTAGCTATTAAAATTATTATTTGGCTATTTTAATGAATTCATTAATATTTGTAAAAAAATATTATTTAAAATATTTTTAAATGACCCAACACGAAAGTTTAGCGAAGAACACTTTTACAGGCGACGCACAGTGGTAGAAAAATAAAATTAGCTTACCTAAATTAATACCTCTTAAAAAATAGTCTATTTAATGAATAGTACAAAGTTTCAACTATTTTTCGGTCACTGAATCCAAAATCATTATTAATTTTTAATGTGAACCCTACATAGAAGGAGTAGAAGGATTTTTTTTAATTTTACACAATATTTGTTTTATACAATTTTTTTTATATATTATAAGTCACCAAACCAAATTTATCATTTGTTTTGAATTTGACCTTTAAAAAAAATGAATAAAAGTTTTATTTTAGTTTTAACAAAAATATCATGTTATATATCAGTTTATATATATTTATAGGCCACTGAATTTAAGTATATTATTATTTTAGAATTTAGAGAGTAGTAGAAAAAAATAGAGGGTGGGGGGAAATGGAAGAGTTGATATTGCTCAAAATAAATAATTAAGAATAAATATTGTCTGGGTAAGATGGTTGAAGAATTTAATGAGCCGTTACCTCTTAAAAACTCGTATAAATTTCTGCAACTCAAATTTTCATCATATTAACTTCTAGTTCATAGAATAAAATAACTGTTAGGCGGAGACACACACAAATGTTTTTTTTTTAAAAAAGTTACTAGTTCCATAATATGTACATACTAGTAAATAGCAAAAATGATAAAAATTTAGCCACATTCATTTAACGTATAAGTATGAAAAAAAAATTAATTTTTAACAATTACATTTAAATAAATTCTTAAAACTTATAATATCACAGTTATCTTTATTTACAGTATACATAGTGTGTTTAAAATATAGAAAAAGTTAATCGACAACTTATACACCTAGTGTTGGGCAATACAATGAAGAACGCCCAGTGATATCTGTATATATAAAAGTAATATACCACTAGTTTTATACATTTTAAAGTCTTATCTTGGAAATTGACAAGGTTTATGAGACCTATTTTTATCATTAACATCATATTATTTTATAATAATAATATTATAATTTTGGTTGTATTTCAAATAATTTAAAAATTTGATTTAGGCAAGCTATTTTCATATTCCGACTACTGTGTGACGTCTACTATATATTTTAACAATAAATCATACAAAAAAAAAAAATAGATATTAATATATATAATTTGTATTTATGGTAAAAATCATGTTCAAAAGCTATATAAATGACTTAATCATTCTTAATAGCTTATAAACTTGAAAAAGCAATATAGATTACAAAATTAAATTTGTATTATTATAATTATATTAATCTTTCCTATTTTTGTGCTTGTTTCGTCCAATAATTTAGGATAAATTCCATATTTTATCTGTTGCCATAGTTATAATATATTTATATTTGATTTATAAATTTGAATTATAGTTTGTCAAAACTGACTACATAAATATCTTGCATCAAATTTTAAATCTTGGAAACTAACAAAACCTACAAAATAAAAAATACTCCTACGAAATGAAGAAGTATTTTACTATTTATGTTAGTGTGAAAGCTATAAAAAAAACAGTTATAATAAAAATGTAATTGTGGAGAAGGGGATATTGCTCTATATAGTGCCTCTTAAACCCTTTATGTAATCAAAAAAGTGAAAACTTTTTCATATGAATACCAAAGTTTAAAGGCCATAAATTATCTAATTTTTGCACAACACATTCCTTATACATAATCGAATAATAAAATCATAAACAATTTGGCATTGTGAAAAATTATCCATAATTTATTAATTTTTATCAATTAGCAACTCTATCTAAAAAAAGTAGATGTGATAAAACTAATTAAAAAAAAAAAAATTGGAAAATCACTAAAATATCATTATGAAACTGGAAATACCGATCATCTGTATTTCTTTAAAACTATAGTACTGATATTGATCGTATAAATATTATCATATTTATTGTTACTTCAAATATGACGCTAATTTTTAAAATTATTATTTATTATTATCAAAAATACGTTATTTTTTTGCCAAAAGTCATTCTAAAATTCCAAGATTTTCAATATAATTTTTAAATATTATTTCCTATATTTTGCTTCTAAATGCGAAGAATTAATTTTTTTTGTAAGACATCAAATATTGTTTTAAAAATAATATTAAATTTTATTGTTAATGAAATTAATGTAATCACTAAAGGTATAATAATAATACCATTGTATTACAATAAAAAATATTAATCATTGATTATGAATCATTATACATAATCAATTATTATTTTTAATTTATCTCATAAAATAAATATTAATTTAATAAATTTACAACATTGACAAATTTAACACATTAAAGCTTCATTTCCAATAGATTCCAAAATATATATAAAAACTTTTGAGTCACATAAAAACCATCAAAGTGACCGGCATTGCCTGAGTCTTGCATCTTAAATTAGTATTAATAAAATAAAGCGGTTTATTTAGCTCATTTCGGAATCTGTCATACTTAAGTTTTATAGGGTTCGATTCCGTTGCGTTGAGCTATGTGGGTTTTCCCGTCCTTTCTAACAAAAGCATATCTTTCCACGTAAAATATAAATAGAATAATAATAAAACTAATAAATTTATTTGTATAGTAATAAAAGAGTTGTGCACATTCTAATTACATTCATATATAATACTGATTTTTTATTTACTTGTGTAATTTTATCATACTAAATTTGGATTTCCTATAAAATTCAATTATTGGGATATCTTAGATATTTTGACAGGAGAAGACAACATTAGCATAGTTTACATGGATGGTGTGAGGCTTTATACGCCATAGAAATATTTGTAGCCCCAAACAAATTAAATTTTTGGTGAAAGAGAAGGTAGATGAAACAATGTAATAGAGAAACTTCTCTTTATGTCCAAACTTATAAAATAGATTATATAGCTATACCCCTTACAGACAAATTTTTTAAGCTATGCTCATGAGGGCACACTCTTGAGCACAAATTGTGGATGGTTTATAATTATATAAAATGAAATATTAGAGAGGGGAAAATTAGATGTAATAAATTCTTACAAATATTTTATTAAAATTGGGCTTAAATAAGCAAAAACACAGATGAGTCTATTAATTAGCGTCTTCTTTAAGATGGCTAATTATTAACCATCGCTAAAGGTTAGAGAACTTAGTCATTTTGTGATCCTCAACTTTAAGACCTGATATTTGTTATTGTTTACATCCTTTTTTACATTTTTTAGTGTTGGAAACACTGTTTAAACATCAAAAATACAGTTGCAAACTTAGAAAAAGAAAAAAAATTATCAGTACACAATAGTGTACGGGAGATTAGAAAGTGTAATTCATTTTTATAATAACTTATTGGACGATATTTGCTTAAAAAAATTTGTTAAGAGAAAACTGATAGAGAGAGCATGTGCTCCTGTTGAAGCACGTGGTCACTATAAATCTGCTAGTGGTTTAATGATTTAAATCAATATTGGACTAGTATAATTCTTTGTCGGGGTAAAACCAATTATTATTTTTGTTTTTAAATAACTATTGCAAAATAAATATTGATTTGAAACTTTGATTTAATATAAACTACGTCTTTACAGAGTTTTTTTTTATCATGAACCACTTGATTTATTAAAATAATAAAAAATATTGATAACTTTTTTTTATTTTTTGTTTCTTTGAGTTACATATTTTTTTCCATTTATCAATCATGAAGTATTATTCTTGTCCATAAATTATGTAGCTTGTAAAATAAAAAAATAATCTAATAAAGAAAATAATTGGTCAAAAACATCCTTTGGAGTAATATTTCAAAAGTTATTAACCTTTCACTGTAAATGAATTAAAAATGTGACATACAAAAAAATTGGGTAATAAAACAATTCCAATTGTAGTCTTATAGTGTACATAAAATTTAAAACAACATTTGTAAGCATTAGTGATGTTTTAGTAAAAAGCTAGAGGGAGGGTATACGTTCAAATATAGATTTCATGAAAATAATAATTAAAATATTTAGTTTAAAAGTTAGCATACAGTGATAATGTTGGGCTTAAAAGTTCACAGGTTCATAGTAAAGAACACTTTTTGGTAAAATTTGATTTAATTATTAAATATAGTTAACTTCAAAGGCGTACATCGATTATAATAGTCATATAATTATTCAATACCATTTATATAGTACACGATTTTTCTATATTCCTCAGTTTCGGCGATTACCTATTTATCAGTGCTGAATTTATTTTCGGAAAGCATTCTTTTGATGTCTGCAAACAGGAAAAAGTCACTAGGGGTCAGATCAGTAGAATATGGTGGTTAGAGAAATAGCCTAATTCATGCAACTTTGTCATAGTTTTTTTGAATTCGTGACACGATGCATTGTCTTAATGAAACAGAACTATTATGTTTTAAATGGGGTCGATTTTTCGTAATTTCATACATTAAATGCTCCATCAAGAGCAATTAATACAACTATGTAGTAATTGCCGTGGATGGTCTAACCTTTTTCGATGAATATTATACTATGTGTATCCAACAATGCTGATGCCGTAACATTGTCAGCTGACCGTTGGGTCTCTGAATCCATTCTTTGGATTCGGTTCATCGCGTACAATCCACTTAACTGGATTGTACGTTGATAATACTTGATTGGACTCTGGAGTGAAGTGGAGGAGTTATGTTTTTTCATTGTCACATATTGACCCAAAAATTCGTTTTTATTACAGTTGAAAGCTCCAAAGACTACTCCGAATCTTCAACACGTTGTTATTTTAATTGTAAGCTCACGCGGCAACCACTTAGCACACAGCTTTTGCATGTCCAAATATTCAATATGTATCCAACACGTTCCTTTGTTAACTTTAGAGTTTCAGTTATCTTTATCAATTTTACTTAACCGTTCATAATTATATTGTGGACTTATTTTATGTTTTCGTCATTAATAGTCTCTTTTGGATGTCTACTGCGTGCATCGTCTTCGATGCTCATTTAGCCTTGTTTAAATTTAGCAAACCATTTCTCAACGGTTGATTTTCCTGGTGCAAAGTCTGAATAATATTTATAAAGTCAAACCTTGACTTCAACAGTATTTATTTCGTCAAAAAGCAATGTTTAATTAACACTTGAAATTTTTTTTTATCCATATTTTTCAAAATAACAAAAGTAGCTTCACTCACAATGCTATATCTAACGAACCAATTATCCGACAGTTGTCAAATTTATACATATATTTTTTCAAGGTTGGTATTAATTAAAAATAATATTAATTCATTTCTAGTAACGCCATCTATATGTCAGATTACGAACTTTTCAGCTCATCAACCTATTTGATAGAATCACAAAACTTAGATAAAATCTACAGATTACTACAGAGGTATTAATTTTAAAATACGTTTAACATATGCGAATGTTGGCTGCATTAGCATATGTTTCTTTAGAAATGCTTATGAAGCACTTACTGACACTACATTTTTTCTTGAAAAATGAAAACATTTTCCTCAATTTCCTCGACTACTTTGAGGAAATTTGGATTGGTTATAAAACAGGCAGAAGAAAACACATATGCAACCGAAATATCTTATTGCACTTTTAATTGTTATAAAAGTCCCACAAATAATCTTCCAACGACAAATAACTATATTGATGGATGACACAAAGGCTTACAAGTTAAATAGGTTGGTATCAACAGTTTAAATTGTTTTTTATAAATAAATAAGTACATTTTATATTTTAGCTGTTCATCATCTTACACTATGGAAGTTTATTGAATGCCTACAAAAAAATCAAAATTTCGAAGAAATTTAAATGGAAAATTATAATTTGGATTACCAGACAAAAAAAAAAAAAGTATAAATGTTGTGTCAATAAAATAAAATTACTACTTAACAACTTTGATGCAAATGACTTAATAAATGTTTTAAAAGTTGTTGCATATAACTTAGGCTTACAATGTTAAAATTTTTAAAAAATACTATTTTCACTGTTTTTTTTAATATATTCGCTGTATTTTAATTAGCTATTATTTTTTGCTATATTGAAGTCGTTCTTTTGAGTTTCACAATTTAATTTTGCTGTTTTGAATGGAAACCATTAATTACTATCAGATATTATATAAAATTAACCCTACTATACCACGTTCTTACTATGTCACGAGTACACAGTTTTAGGTTATTTTTTTTTCTTTTGGTAACATTATTATTTGTATTATTACATTACTTTTATAAATAATAATAATATAAATTCATTATTTATAAATTTGGCATTTACCAGAAAAAAATGTATGTTTTTAAATTTTTAATTTTAGTAAATAGATATGCTTTAATTTAAATACTTATATATTAAAAATATTTTGGTAAATTAATAATAATGTGGTATAAAACAGTGTAGACACGTTTGTATTTAAAATAAAAGTACTCATATGCAGAGATATAAAAAATAGTTTTAAAACGTATTTAAATAAATACAAATACTGTCACATCATAAGTATTTAGAATACATTTCTAATATTTTTTCAGAAATGTATTAAATAGTTCATGATAAAAAAATCACTTTGTACATAGCAACTTTTACCTGTATATCAAATAAAATATTTAAAGAATTTTATATTATTTTGGTTTGGTTAGGGTAGGAATATAATAAAGAAAATGATTTTATATTTAGGATCTAAAGAAGAATATTGATCAGAAGCGTTGCTATGAGGGTAATGAATCACCCCCAACCCCAAATACCGACTCAGCAATTTTATGCCTAGTCGGTAAATATATTGCCTTTTTTAGATTTTTTTAGTGAAAAAAATAACGATTTGTGTCAATAGTTAAGTAGCATCAGAACAAAAAAAGATACAACATGTTTATTCTGTGTTTTATTATTTCTGTCCACATGAATATTTGCATGCCCTATTGACCAACTTAACGTAAAAAAATATTACAAATTATATCTAGTTATTCAAAATAATTTTCTATTTTTATTTTTTTTTACTGAACATTTTTTAAAGTTTTAAAATATAATAACTGATTTTAAGTTAATAGTTTAAATATTTTATGAAAATAAAGAAATTAAATTTTAGAGACCTATAAAATTGACATTATTTCATACCACGCTTTTAAATGAATGGGGGGGGGGTCTATGATCACTTATAAAAGTCATATAAATGATCAATATGATTAATATAATATTTGATTATAAATATGAGAAAAGCTATTTTCCAAAAAATGATGTATCTATTTCAGATATTCTTCAGTAGAGCAAACACTAATTTTAAGTTTTTGGGTGTCATATGCACATTATCATGTTGTTTAAGACCAAAAAGTAGACTCGTAATTTTTCGTCAACTCTTAGCTCTTAGAGGAGAAATTTGAGCTCTATGCAATAAGTAATTTTGAAATTTAGGAAATATTAATACCTGTAGAAATAATGATATAAAAGAATAATACTGATAACTAACAATTTTTAAAATAAAAAGGAGGAAATGCTATTATTTATAATGTGCTATTTTGTAATAACTTTGAATATTAAATAAAACATTTTATATCATAAAGAGTGTACAAACAATGTTTTATAATCCTGCTGCAAGTGAAAACTTTTCTATCAAAACGTGTTTATATAACTGTCCATGAGTTACCGTGAGAGTAAAAACGGTAAACTATATGTTTTGAATTTCAGTGTATTATTAATTAAAACAATATATTTCATACTATTTAAATTTATTCGCGATAAAAAAAAATCGTAGAAATATTTTACTTCAAAACATGATTTATTTTAAATGCGTGCAGTGATAGTAAATAAACTATCACATTAATACAAATAGGGCGAATGTTACACAACAATAGGAGTTGTAATAAATCCTTTTAATCATAGTTTTGACTTTTTGAGGATCTATACATAATTTTTTACTTAAATCGAAGTATGTGGGTGTTAAAGCGAAATTAAAGTAAATCAATTAATATAATTTTTCCGGAGAGTCGTTTGAAATATTTTAATCTTATAAGGACTAATATAAATGTATATTTTTAAAATGCAATAATATTACATTATAATTTAATTTTATTGTTATCGTTGATACCAAAGAAAGAGGTACGTTTGAAATTTTTATTTTCAGTTCAAACTCATTTTATCCAAAAATTGACTTACACAACTTTTGCTTTAACCCTCACACATACACAATTTTAAAAACAAACATGGTAAAGTATTCACAAAAAGAACTATACAAAAAATAATTATTAAATCTAGAACATATTTATTGAGACCAATTTACGTTTTCAGAGCTCATTGAAAATTCATTAAATCCATTCGATGCTTCTACATTATTTTCACAATAGGAATCCATATAATAACTATTGTTGTTATTGTTCAAAATTTTTGTTGGATCTAACACCATAAAATTAACAGAGGCGTCAGTCAAGCCCTCAGATTCTGTCTCAATAAAATCAATAGGACTTGATAAACCAACAACGCCATTGACAGAACTCATTTTAGCGTCTCCTGGGATTTGAGGGTAATACTCTGCTTCATGGGGCATTGAGTACATGAAGTCCAAAGAAGATTCATGTGCGATACTATTGCTACCGTCGGAACTAGTAATTTCAGTCTTCACCATATACTGATACTGGTCATGATCCTGGTATCGATGTTGATTGTGATGACTAAGAGAAACATCGTCGGCTTGGTAACAGCGGAAGTCTTCAGCAGGATGGCGATAACTCTGCTGCCATCCTACCAAGTCATCACAATGCGTCGACATAGGGGGACTTTTGTGGTGGATAGTACCACTACCCAAGTCCAGTACAGTTGTCGGCGACTTATTCGCATACTCTGATGTGCCTTGTACGGGTTGTTGAAACATGTCATTGGGAGAAGAAGTGACACAAGGTTGGGATTGGCCAAATGCATCTGGACCCAAAGCCACAGCAAAATCAATGGGAGTAGGGTTAGCCAACGGCAACGGATAATGCTGCACACTTGACCAATCTTGGTTATGATCGCCAGACAAGAAAGTCTGTTCAACCATTCCCGTGTCCGTTGTCTGAGGTAACTCTAGACGGCTGCAAACGCAACAATAAGGGAGACAAGAACAGTTTGAATCTAAAAAATATACATCATTAGAAACTTTCAAAATAAAAATGGGTAATAATTTCAATAACTTACTTGAATTTTGATTATCAGGTACAACTTGAACAGGTTGAGAATTTATTAAATAATTTTTTTTAGGACCACTCGTCTTTTGTTTCCTTAAAGTATCACTCTAAAAAAAAAAAGAAAGAATTCCTCAATACTTCATAATCAATATCTAATATATTTCGTGCTATTTTCAGTTAATTTATACTTTATATAGTTGAATGAAATTAAGGTTAAAATGATCCAATAGAATAATTTTGTGAGTTTTTTGTATTTATTCTTTTTTTTATTATTTATGTTTAATTTATTATTTATTTTCATTCACTTATTTATTTTAGTTTAATTTTTATTTTTTCATTTTTTTATTAAATTTTGTATTATTTCATCTCGATAGTTAATTATTAATATGATTATTTAGTATTTATATTTATTGATATTAAATATTATTGTTTATTCAATCCTGTAAAAATGGTTGAATTTATTTTGAATTGATAAGGATTCTTAATTAAAATGTTATTACTTTATAAAATTACAAACAAAAATAGAAAAATGTATATCTAAATTCGAATAATAAATGTATAATGTAGAAATGTTATATTAACGACTAAATAGTCAGATTAGATGTTTGTATAGTTTTTTTGTCAATCACGTAATTAATTTTAATCATAAGTAATATCAACTATAATATTAAAATTTATTTTAATTAAAAAAAATAATATTTAGATTTTTTGGTTTCACTTCAATTAAATTTGGTACACTGTCTAATCGTCTATTACTTTTATGTTAACATATTGAAACGTTGATTTTTTTTGGTCAATGACTAATGGTTTACATTTTTTAGTCTACGCTATTGAGGTCCACCACAATATTTGTATAAAAGTACATTAACATTTTGTCTATTTATGTATAATATTTTTCAAAATCATTATTTTTTTTATACATATGAAGTCTTTTTAAGCGCGGGCTAAAGTGGTAAGTGCATTGGTAGCTTTGGTTTTTCCAACTACTTTGGGTTTATTCATAGTCAACAAATAAATCAAAAACTGATACAGGATAATAATAGTAGATATTTTTATTGAATTAATTTTTTTTCAGTAGACCATATTATAAACACTAATGTAAAGTCGACGTTTTGTAGTAGACGATATAATCTTTAACATTAAATACATATATTATAATTATCTAACAATAATTTATTATTATTATTTATATGAAAACTTATATTGTGATTAAACAAGGTGATTCTTTTAAAAGAAACCATTCGATTTCTCTAAAAATAATGTTAAAAAAAAATAATGTAAAAAAATATTTTGTTGGTATTTTTTATTTACATATATTTCTTGATTTACCAGTTTAGTTAAAGTTTTAGTTTTTTAATACATTTTTTATACCTATTTAAGAGTGTCAACTTAATTTTTTTTAATGGAAACGTAGATATTTTCTAGCTTATAAAATAGATATTGATCTAATTAAGATTAATTCATCTGGTCGATGAAAACTTTTAGAAAAGTATTTCAGAAGCTATTAATAATTTAAGGCAATGAACTGGACGTGAGGAGTGGATTCTGATACTTTTATCACTACAGACATCTCACTCCTCCTTTCGCCTAGACATAAAAATATTAATAACTCCTGAAATAGTAGTTGTTCTCGAACAGTTATTTTCTTAATAAGATCAATTTCTATTAATAAGTTAGTTAAATATTTATATATCCATTTAAAAACATTAAGTTGACACCCCAATAAGACACAAAAATTAAATTTAAAAAAATTAACATTTGTGAAAAAGTTGTTATTTTGAATCCCCCTGTGGGCGGGTAGTCAGGTTTACAACAAGTTTATATAAAATGTAAGGGAAATACGTAAAATTTCTATATAATAAAAATTATTTTGAATCGATCATTTTTAAAAAAGTTATGGTAGTTTTAAGAAAAAAAAATTGAAAATTTAAAAATATTAAAAATCGTAATTTTTGGGGGATTTTCCCCATTTACAGAGAACGAGTGAACTTTTTTTTATTTTGAAGGACAATGTCTTTAACTAGATACGATTTATGATCTTTTGACGTATCGTTGAAAGAAATAGGTTTAGTAAAAGCTGGGATAAAATAGCGACAGACATAAAAAAAAAAAATTTGATTAAAAAAAAATTAATACTTTCCTAACTTCGCATCGAAAAATTGAGGGGATACCGTTAAAAAAATCACCTTTTATAGTAGTGTATATATTATTTATAAAGTATTATTAAATTTATTGAGAATATTATAACTCATTTCTTTATTAAACAATGATTTTTTCATAAAAATGCATAGGATAAAATTTAATTAATTTTTATAAACCATTGTTAATATCAAATTTTTTGTTAAAATATCAAAAAAAGGTATTCCTAAGGATAGATTTAGGGGTAATTTTTGAAAATTAAACGAAAACCATTTATTATTTTGTTACGATTAAATGGAGAATGTTTAATTAAAATTTTAACTTATCGTTAACCTGTTTTGTATTTATCCTTAATGAGATATTAGCAATTGAAGATTTATATTTTTCGCTGTGTTGAATTCAATGGTTGTTATAGATATGACCAAATTTTAATTAGTGAGGTTTTATATATTCTCTTATTTAATATTAAAAAAATAATAATAGATCCCCATTTAACTTTCAAAAGTTACCCCTGAAATCAACCCTATAACTTTTTTCACAATAAACTTGAATTTTATATTTTTTATAAAAATAACTTAAATTTAAATATATTAATTTTTATGAAAAAATCATTATTTAACGGAAAATAATAAAAGCCACTGTATATAATATAATTTGATATATTATGTGAAATGAAAGAATTAAAAAATTTAATTAAAGTTAAAATAATTCTTTCTTAAATAAAATATATTTTTTTATAATAATGTAGTAACAATTAAAAACAACTTTTTAAGGAATAGCTAGAAATTTAATTTAATTTAAAAATTAATTATCTCTGAATTTATGACATTAACACCCCTAGGATGAATTTGATTTGCAATGTGTTTAATGAGTAAAAGGGGCCGCTAAATTGATCAATTTTTACCCTGTTAAGAAAGTGTACTTATAATAAAAATATATATTTTAGGGTAGGGAATTTAGATTGAACTCTCACACAATATTTACATCAATATCCAATAATTACACACTATGTTCTTACATTCTTAATAAATTTTAATCAAACAAACATTAATAGTTACTTTTTTTTTTACAATTTTTACAGTTTTGGACTAGGTTAAAAGCATATTTTTACTAGAAACAAATAATAATAAATATACTTCTAACGTAATAAAAACTGCAAAAATTAGTTTTTAAAAAAGTAGCGTAAAATATTTGCTGGATTAAATTTATTAAGGATATAAGAACAAAGCGGGACACTTGAAAAGAAAAATATAAATAACATTAATATTGAAAAAAATAAATAATATTTAATTTATCTTGAGATAAAAATTTGTTTCGGATTCCAACATGTGAATTTTGTAACCATATAACATTTTAGAACGGTAGTTAATAAAAAAACACATGATTAGCAAACAAAATATAAATTCCGAGGGCAAAAAATATTTTTTTATTTGGGGCAACATATTCAATTTACAAAATTTTAGGTATATAGTAATTTGGTAATTAATGTGTTTATACCCTCCAAAATACACTTCAAAATATGAAGGCCCTTTTTTTGTCAGAGAGTGCTAGGAGCCCATTTCCACACGCCAATGACTTACTGATTTAATAGAAATGTATCAAAGAAAATTATATTCTATGTACATGAATATGTATGATGAAAAAAAATAAATCAGCGTATATCAAACATTAAAATGATCAAAGTAATATAATTCAATATTTTTTAAATACATTATTAACTATGAGTATTGCCTAAGGAAGTGATTGACGGCGAGATCTGTAACTCTTGCAGGCTGACCCATAATATGCTATGCTACGTTTAAATATACTAAGAAGTTTTATGGGCATTCATATGCATATATTTAACGATTCATGGACAACTAACTATAGGCGGTTTGCGTTTGTATACTAGGGTTTGTTATTATCAATGTGAACCTACAATTAAAGATTTTTTTTAAGACAATACAAAACAGATTTAATTATAATAATTCATAAACTTATACTTCGGGTAGGGCTAACAACTTAGTGTATTTTTTATTAGTAAAGGTAAATAATTTATATGTTTTTTCATTCAAAACGCATACTACATTAATTATAATTTGTGTCATCGTTGCTCTATATGATAATAAAAAACTTTAAATAATTTTTATTTAAACGTAGAACTCACCAATTTGTAAATTAGACGACTATAGTATAACAGTGATTAATCTACTTGTCTTTTAAAATCTAATGTAAAAATTAGGGAGGATTTTTTTAAATTAAATTACATTGATTTTATGTTTAATAGTGCAATTTGATTATTAAATTTACTTATTTAATTTTTCAAATAACTTTTATTAATTCATGATAATATTTATATTTACGAGTTATAAATTAAGAATTTAGATTCTTGTGACCGTAAAAACATATATTTTAATTTAATGATAATTTACTTATTCCAGAACTTTTTACGGACATCAGGTTATTGTTCTTAAACTCTTATATGCTAATAGCTGTGAATGTGCAGTACATATTACACCATACCCACGCAGCGTAAGTACATTTAACAATAATCCTATTATGACAAACGCAATCAAGGGTATAATTAACAGCGGATAGTGTAAACTGAAAACATATTAATGACGTACATGTGTGTAATCGTTATTATAACCTATTCCAGCTTTTTAATTATTTAATTTTAATTGTTTATACTCGTTATAAAAGTTTAGATGCATTATGTAAAGTTTAAATAAGAAAATACGCTTATTCTGCATTAAATAAAATATACTTAGAATTTAGATAACAGAAAATAATCAAATGAAATTGTACAGTGTTTAATTTATACCGACGAAATGCAGGGTATAAAATTTTTAATGTCAAATAATCATTGATAGGAACAATATAGTGACATTTTAAAGTAAACCCAATAAAGACATCTGTAAAAATAATTCATGGATTTCTTACTGTGAATAATTCTCATCATTACGGTAGTCACTATAAATATACAGGCCCGCATAATAAATAGCAATAAGAACCCGATTTTTTACCTTTGATTTGTATTCACAATTGTATCATAGTATACTGGTCATATAAAAATTTTCCCACTATTATTAAAGGTAACAGCTTAAACAGTATATTTTCTATAAGGTTATTATCGGACATTGAAGTGTTACACAGTTTTAAACTTTCAGTTGAAATTTTTTAATAAATAATAATGATAATTCATTTTGACAAATAATATTAATTATAAATATATTGATTAAAGATTTTATACTTCGTTCAATAAAATAAAAATGGTATTTCACAAGACTTTCAAAAATTGGAAAGGTATGAACTTTTACAAACATTTTCCACCAAAAAATAAATACTAAGGTATATGTCTTTACAAAGTAAGTCAACTCTTTTAGTTATTAAGATCACATTTTAATTCATTCAGTTTTAATAATCATACTATCTAAAAAGTGAGATTTTTAATAATTAACTTTTAAAAATGATTATTTGATTTAAATAGTATAATCTATACTAAAAAACAGAGCAATAAATCGTTCTTTTAGTTTCTCTAGTCAGTTTATTTATCTTATTACATGTCACAAAGGGAAAATTAATAATCACATGAGATTTATAGGAAGATCTAGCCTTTCATTCTAATAACTTTATAATTTGGGAAAATACTTAAAAAATATCAATTCGCTTAAATAGGACTTACGAAAAAAATAAATAAATCTGGGTAACCTGTGACGAAACCAAGAAGGGTTGGAGAGCATTAACTACCCTGAAATTTTTTTAGCAATTCAGATCAAAAAAATTGCTTAATGACCTTTATTTGGCCAATGAACAATGTTTTTCGTATTTTCCGACATCATAATCTATATTCCTCCAATAATCCATGTTTGATATAATACATTTTTCCCAGTAAAAAAAATTGAATGAAACTTACATAGAAAATATTCATAAAAATAAAGAAAATGTAATTAATTTCAACATTTTGGTTTTTACCTTATTGTTAAACGGAACTTCTCTTGATAGAATCATACCAAAGTTTCTAATTTTTAGGCTTCTTCTGGCTTCTGATGTAGATTTTGCTTCTGGTCTTAAATGATCATGTACACCTTTAGCTTGGAAAAAAATAGCATGATCGGTGTGTCTCCAAAAATGAGTAACTGGATAACCACAATGTCCACGGCAAGGCATAATTTCTAGATGACCGTTACATTGACGATTCGGACATGGTTTCCCTATAAAAAATTCATATTTACATAGATTTATAAATAAATTATCATATACTATTTATCAAAAATAATATAAATCAAAAAGTTTTTTTATATAAATATTACCGACGAATAAAATGTGTTTTGTATTATAGTTTTTGAGTTACAGTACTTTGAATTTGAAAGAAAATTGAATTTTAATTTCATTTTGTAGTATTATTTAAGAACATAAGATAATTTCAGTTAAATAGTTTAACATTTATACATTTATATTTGTTGATATCACATAATTTCATGATAAACTGTAATATTTGATAAAAATTAAGGTACAATAAACGTAATATAACAACATTAATATACAATGTTCTTGATTAGGTTCATTTTACTGATATGAAGTATGAATAATTGATAAGGCCTAATCAAAAATCAAAACTTTTAATACAATACATTTTATCTAATGGTAATATTTATTAATAAAAAACGTTTTTCATTTGATTTTTCATAATTGTTCCTTTAAAACATCCCATTGAAATAAAAAAAGTTTAATAAAATTTGATTTAGTAATTTATAATAAACCAATTTTGTTAGAAAATTTTTTTTTATTTTCAATAGTATAAACATCGCATAAACTGCGATTTTTGAAGTATTTTCAGTAGTAATTACTGAAAATACTACAAATAAAATTGAGAAAATTACTTTTTTATTTATAGATGATGAATATTTGGAAAATATATTTTTTCAAGTAATCTCAATTTATAATATTTTCACATGATACATTTTAAATAACATCAATACAAACATTTAGGACTGCCTGTTTGATTTTTTATTTAATAAAATAAATTGGACATCCCTAATTGTATGTAGCTTTTCATTAAAAAAATAAAAAATAACAATTTCATAAATATTATATAAATACTAGGTGGCAACCATGTTAATTTCATGGGATTATTATTGACTTACAAAATCATTTTCTGACATTGCAAATTATAAAAGCATTAAGCTTCTTGAAAATAGTTTTTGGTCAATTTAACATGATATTATATTTTTAATGTTTGGAAATTGTATTTTAAAATTACATCGCTTCTAGAAACTAGAAAAGTAGTCAATCTAAAAAGGTTTTATTTTCTGTTTTTTAAAGGAATATAAACAATAAAGAAGAAATATTGAACAAGTAAAAATCAATTCATTTACTGATAACAATTAATGCAAAAGTTTCTTGGATAAATATAGACGCACTTGGTTGTAAATTAATAGCAAGTATTGTAGTTAATATTCAAAGTAATAACAATTTGGCGGTTGTTGAAAGACTGAGATTAATGGAACTACATACTCTGGAGATAGGAGTGATTGTTTTTTTAATTTATTAATATACCTCGCGACAAAAAATTTAAATTTCATAAACAATATTAAAATGTCATATTTTGCAATGACATGAAATGACATTCACCTTATATTTGCAAAATTAATAGGAATAACATCTAATAGTAGAATTAGTCGTAAGTCGATCTAATTATTGACTTGTACTACCACTTTTAATGTTGTCTTTGACTGTACTGAATTACTATCTTTTATTGAAAATAATGAAGTAGATTTAAAAAAATATCAAGATTCAAGATTAAAAACTAATATTTATTTATTTTACACAAAATTATTGCATAATAACATAAAAGTAGTACAAAATTTATTTTAGACATCATTAATATTAGGCACATTACCTTGTTGTTTTTTTCTAGCTTTATCACATATGGCAGGCCTAAGATGAATAGTATCGCCCGAAGGTAATACACATCTCCTAGAGCAAAGAAGTACACCAAGACATGATTTCTTTAAAATATGAACATTGTGATTATTTGTATTTCTCATGGCCCAACCAGAAGCGTGTCGCTTAGCTTCCTCGCAACTTGGAGGATAAACAAGGCGACAATGCCCATCAGCCCATTCTTCCCATTGATTAAAGTGACTCACCTGTTCAAGTAATAATCATTAAATATCTTAATAGTAGTTATTAACATTGTTTAGCTAACTATTCGACATAAAATATTATTTTATTTGGGTAATATTTTGTAAAATTTAAAATTTAAAGTGATGATCCAAATAATACTCATGATCTAGGTTTCAAAGTATACTTTAAAATCAAGTTAGCATTAAAAAAATAATTAACATTAAATTTAATTTAAATAAAATCTATTCTAGTTTCTATGTATTTTTAGAAGGTATTGTTTATCTCTGCTGCCTTCAATTTTTTTTAAATTTATGAACACAAAATTTCAAAATGTTTGCAAAAGTATTTCAATAAAATATACCTTTTTAACAAAGTTCTATTTGTTTAAAAATCAAATATTTACTACGTAATGTTTGATTTTTGTTTTTACTATTAAATATATAAAAAATAATGATAAGAAAATTTATTCTGTAATTTTATAAAACAATAAAATATTCAACAACAAAAAAAATTAATTTTCACTGTAATTACATAATATAAAATATATGTAGCTGGGAATTTTTAGTGAATATTTACTGAGAGTCCACTTTTTACTGATTGAAAGATACCTTTTTTATTAATATTATTATAATGCAATATTTTTATTACAACATATATACTGATATATATCAATAAATGCAAACTTTGCTTAACTGATCAGCATAGAAAAAACCACAAAATATTATGGAATATAAATAATTTCAATTTTGCTTTGTATGTGAAGTATAATAGTAATATAATAATATCTTGTATAAAAAAAACATTAAATCTGGAATAAATAATTAAAAAAGAGATAATGTTATCCTTATTTATGAAATTTTCTTTTGAATCGTCTGAATACAGCACACCCAATGTATGAATTATTTCTCTATTATGCGTTTAATAAGACACAGAAAACATACTTAAAAAAATTGCCTTTAAGTACAGTAAAAAAGTAACAGAATAGTTTGATGCAAATTAAATTTACGTTATGCAAGATACACTTTGGATATGTTAAATTTAATCTTATTGATTAAATTAATAGTCTGTAAAGAGTTAATGCAAATTTTTTTTTTATAAAACGCCTTTGACAAATTTGTTAAAAATGTAAAATTTTCATTAATAATAGGTATTAAATTTTAATGGTTTTTAGATTTTTTACCACATGTAAAATAACACAAACCACTTTAATTGACTTATTATTTATTAAGTAAATAAATTATAGTTGAGGACCACTGGTCAGGTTTTTGAAGTGGACATAGAGCGCTGTGGTGTTACTACATTTACATTTACTAAAGAACTATGAAAAGAAAAACAAGAGAACATATGATTAGAACTGATATAATCACATTAACTTAATATGTTTAAAAAATTATAAGACAGATATTTTTACATTCAAATGATAACATTATATTACAGAATATTCTTAATTATTAACTTCAACTCGATTTATTTATAATTTTGTGAACTCTGTTCTGGCTGAATCCAATAAAAACATAATCAAATTTAATTTAATTTACTTTTTGGTCGTGTGAAAATTAAATTTTATTGTTATTAACTCAGTACAAAAGGTGTGGTAGTTTTAAGTTAAAAAATTTATCAGTTTTTTTTCAAAGTAATGATTTTACTTATGCCTTTTTAATTTTATTGTATATTTTAAATGTTATCTAATAATTGTAAAAATTGTAATAATGTAATCAATAATTTTCAGTGTTTATATATTATCATTTATTTCATGCAGTTATAAGAACACAATTGATAACTGTTTAATTTAAAGTAGAATTTAACTTAATTTAAAATCATTGTAAGATTTTATGACAGCATATATTTTTACTTGTATTATGACATAAAAAAATAATGTACCTTTGGAATGATTGAGTCGTTGATATCCCAATCCGCAATGCGATTTAGTGAATCTGTTGGTGGCCGGCCACGCGAGTAACTATACTCATTACTCATGCTAAGATCTTCGTATTCTTGTTTACTAAATAAAATAAAAATTAATTTATTAAAAAAATTGTAATAGCTTGGCATTAAAAATTCAATGAGCTAATCATCTAAGATTTGTTGTTAGACACTTGATCGTTTCAACTATTTGTCGATAACGCTGGCGGGAAAAGTATGAAATGCCTATTTACAGACATGTAAGTTATAAAAATCTCCAACTGTTATGTAAAACTGATATCATGAAGTGATTATCTTAAAGGTAGAAATAAAATAGCTAAATAATTTCGAAAGGAAGATGTCAATTATAATATTAAACACTTTGTAATCTAATAATGGTTAAGATACGAGAAGACTTGTTCATAATACACTGTTTTTGTATATATAAAACGTAGCGATACAATAATTAAGCGTTCTCATCGAGTTATATTTTTTATTAGTAATTAAGGTACTATTGAACGTTTATAAACACTGAAATAAAATTTTAAAAAATAATTAAATAGAATTATAAGGGATAAATTTAATTTACTACAATGAGTTAAAAAAAACATAGTGGACACTATCATTATGATACTGTTATTAAACTATTTATAGAGAGACAAATTTATGTTCTTATAAAATTAAAATAGTTTGCGACTATCTTCAGACTCGCCGTGTCGACAAAACTACTACTAAGTTGTAGGAGAAAAAACTAGTTTTTATTTTATCTTAATTGAATTTGTACTATATAAATTTTACAGTTTAAATCATCTGATAATAACACGAAAACATTGACTAAACAGTGAATTTATTTTTGACCAAATCATATAGATAATTGTTAATCGAGACACGTGCAAGTAATAAAACGGTCATCAATAACAACTAAATATTCCACCAGATAAAATAAAAACAGACAATATCTCAATTAAATAGATCACGAATTCAAAAAATTAAAGAATAAGTAATAAATAATAAAAATACTAGAATGATCTAGGCAATAAGAATTGATGATGGTAAAAAAAAACACTAGACATTGAATACTCAAATAGGAGGGGATTAGGGGATATATCCCATTTTGACATACCCTTTTTGAAATATTTGAAAAATTTTTATACCTCGAACACTTTATATATAATAGTTCAATTTAAATAATGTTTCTAAGCATAATTATTATGAAAAAATTATTAATCCTATAAATTTTGTAAATTAAATTAAAATTATTTTTACAAGAATAAATGCAACGTTGTACTATTTTTAATTATATAAAATATGTTTAATAACGAAAAAATTAATTTATGCTCATTTAGTAGTCAATTGCATCTTGACATAGTAATACAAAAAAAACTATGGGACACGGGGCACATTTCCATTATGATTTCTATCATAAAGTGTTTTCATCCCCTCTCATGGAAAAATTAATTGACCGTCACTGTAAATGAAAGATAAAACGAATTACATGAAGTAGTATTTAGAGCCAGGTATATTATTACCCAGTAACGAGGCTAACCAAAATATTAAAACGTTTATCAGCAACAGAACTTATCTCAAAATGAGATTTTTATAAATAATAATAAAAGAAGTTTTTAAAAAAAAATTTTTTTCTACAAAATTTTTTGTGTGACTCATAATTCTGTTGATAGTTATGAAAATAAAATCACCATTTGTGTTAACACTTTTATAGTTTGTCCTTAGATCATCCTAAAAAGTTAGAAAAACTGAGATACACACTGTTGCAGTAAAAACGACATTATGGCATATTAATAAAAGTAATATCGAATAACATCAATAATATAACAATATGGTAATAATAAATAAATAAAATTGGTCTTAAAAATTTAAAAATCAAAGTTTTTCATAACATTTAGTTATTATTTAATTAAATCATTAAATTTAAGGAACACGAGAAATTCCCTACAAAGAGCACCAATAGCATAGGAGGGTGTTAATTCAACAATTTTACTTGAAAGATGCCTCTTATAAATAATAAATTAAATATATTAACTTGAAAAATACTAAATAAAATTGTTCAAGCAAACTTTAAAATGAAATTCAGGTATAATTATTTCCATGAGTAATTCAATAAAAAAATCGGAAAAGTATAGAATAAAAATATAGTAGGACCTCCAATAAAATTTAAATTCTTTAATTCTAATAAAAATTAAAATTAAAATTTTGATTAATATCTATTGGAACCATTTAAGAAAACTGACAATGCTTTTTACCTCGTTCCAGCTTTGAAAATTTTCATGTACGTCAGTTTTTTTAATCAAAATAAGTCAAGTAAACGGCATATAATATTATGACGAGTTTGGTTAAATTTTTTTTATAATTCGACTAGAATATTAATTATTTCTTTTACGTTCGTAAATTTTGTATTAAAAATGTTACCAATGTCGATTTCAAAAAATGTTTTAAGCACACAAAAATTATTGGAGTTTCTTTTAACTATAACCAAAAATGTTGGATGGTTATGGCCGAGTTAAGTCTTTTTGAATACATTTTACCAACGCCGGACCGTTTAACTAAATACATCAATACATTTCAAGATAAGAAATATGAAAAGTTATTGTAAAAATATGTAGTCTCTTAAATTTAAATTCGAACGAGTTTAGATTAATTTACTTTCATGTTTAACTACAACTAATGTCCTCAAAGCAAAAAAGTTGCTATTCACATTAACGCTACAAACTATTATTATTTTAACCTGGTAAATATAATTAAAATAAACACTACACGTCTCTTAAGTGAAAATCTACGTCCAATTGGAAATTAATAAAAGTGCATTTAGGGTTAAAATAACTATCTATTTTCTAGTGTGCAAAGAAAAAACTGTAGCAGCAATCACAGACAAAGTTAAAAAAACATTTTAAAAACAATAATTTTCCCCCGCCAAAAGTTTTTTGCATCATAATTAATATTAATTTCTGATTTTTTTTTCTGGATAGAGCTAACATAGCTAAACTCAAACTTTGTCTATGATAAAAATGTTTAAATAGTTAAATTTTTAATATAAGAACAATTAAAACGATTTTTATTAACATTAAATGTCATTTTGTAATATTTATAAGTCGTTTTATTTAATTGTTAAATAGATTTGAACTTTGAATCAAGCAAAATGTTATAATAATATTTATAATATATATTTATATAATAGTTATAATATAATATTTAGTTGTGATTAAAAATTATAAAATCTTGTTATAAGAGGATTTTATGATTATAGTTTTATGTCAGAATATGATTGTGAATATAATAATGTAGTAATATTTGAATTAAAAAATGACAGACATTATAAGTATTGATAGCTATAAAATTAAATAATACTAAATGATTAATGAACAATAATAAAAATAATGAATTGAATTTTATATAATTATATTAAGAAACAGANTAAAAATAATGAATTGAATTTTATATAATTATATTAAGAAAAAATTAGATTTAAAATTTCAATAAAAAAAAAAAAAACAAAAAACTGCATCGAGACTTAATAAAAAATAATATTTATGTTAAGTTTGTCATTCATTTGCAATGTATTTAACATTAAAACATTTATGCCCCTATTACCTTGTTCTCTTTTCAATGGATATGTTTTTTCATTGACACGGACATCAGAATGACATGGTAATCTTTTAATTGTACTAGATGAATATTGACTAATTATATACATACAATTAAAAGACTAGCACTGTTGCGCAAACAGTGAATTAAATTACAAAATAATTTAAAACCGTAATCATATGCCAATTTTTATCAATCGCTCAAAATAATCCGAATCTAGAAGAATACAAGTACAAATGCACAAAATGTTTTTGTGTTTCATATCGACCAACTAATAAATCTATAATTGACATTATATACAATACTCACAAAACGACGACCATAATAAACAAATTTTCAATTTTTTATTTTCTACCTTCACTACTAACTCGAACTGCGATTTGAAGCTGATGAATTAGAAACGATATTTCGAATACGCGGAGTTTAGATAGAATTTGAAGACCACCAACGACTACACTGCGAACGGAACACCAAACAGTCACTAACGATGAGTTTCTGGCTGTTGTCGAGTTCAGCGTTTTGAGGACCAAGGGGCCGACCTCGGCGGACCAATAGGAGACGAAGCCAAGCCCACTAGTGTAGAAAAAAAGAATAAACTAACATTGAAACTATATTGGATATACAAACAAATACAGTAGCGTCGACAGTATAATCCTTCCGTTTCCCATTGCACGCGAGCCTTGTAGAAGACTGATTTCCATTTAATGAGTGTCATTTCCAACGCATATTAAGAGCAAGTAACGTTGTCCTACTGAGTACACAGATACTCAGTGACCCTTAATTATATTCTTCCCCACCTTTCCTTTCCATATGGACTTAAAAAAAAGTTCATGTCACTGAAACCGAGCCATATATTTGATTAAGTTAAAAAGGTTTTAAATAATGCAGTATTTCATTTAATCCGAACGAAATGCTTCGCCACTTTAAACTCTTTTATTCCACTCATTTACTTATCATATAACTAACGGACAATTGATAATCAAGTTTCATTACAACATTCTGTATATGCAATGAAATGTCAAAGATCTATAATAAGAGGTTACGAAAACAATCTAAAAAACTAAAATCGCTTTCTTGAAAAGTGTAAAAACATTCGTTTAAACATTTTCATTCGTGCTTTCCCGTTCCAATGAACACTGGTCATTTTTTTCTTTTTTTTTTTACAATTTATTTTATTAATATAAATTTTATTCGTTGTTGTATTAAATTTTATTAATACACTGAATCGCCAAAAAAAAGATATTTTTGAAATTTTATTTTACTTAAAAAACAAAAATTATTCACTCATTTTCTCTTTGTATCATTTATTATCTATCTCAAACATGATTAATGTGTTTAGAAACAGATACAAATTTCAACTAAATGTTCAATTTCTAATTTTGTTGACAAAAGTATACAGGTTGTTCAGTAAGTTAGAAAACAGACAAATTGTTAAAATCAAAAAGAACAATGGAAACCCGTTTTCTTACTTACTGAACACTCTGTATATTGATTAGAAGTATTGTAAAACAATATAAATTGTACTTAATTATATGGTTGTACACTTGAATGATAAACATTAAGGAAACTTCCGCTATAAAAGCCAAAGCTTATCGTCCAGTAGACAACGATTTTTTGGAATAAAACAGGCGTTTTACTCATTGGCTAAATTCTAAGGGAGATACTTTAATGTTAACAAATAATGTGAAGTTTTAAAGAATTTAAGGAAGGCTGTTCAGGAAAAACGCAGTGGAATGTTGTGGAAAGGTAAACTTTTGCTTCGCGGTAATACATGCCCTCATGCTTCAAAAAGACGATTAATCTACTTAAATCTTTCAATTGCAATATAATTTCTCACCACTATATTCTCCAGCTTTTGCTCCAAATGATTATTATCTATTCCCGAAGCCAAAAGTTTATTTAGATGGACTATAATTTCTGACGACGAATAACTCAAAAGGAAATGTGTCGATAAGTAAAGGTTACAGCAAAGGACTAATGAGGGTGGGCTGAAAAAACTTTCTCCGAGGCTAAAGAAATAGGTAAAAAATTGTAGAGGTTACGCAGAAAAGAAGTTTTTAAAAAAATAAAAGAATTTTCCTGATATTCTTAGTGGTTTTTATTTTACACAGTAGATAATCTTTTTTTTTTGTAATTATTACTATTACAATTTAATATAATTATTGATAAAGCTTCCTGATAGGTATTCAATAATTTAATT